TGGTCCCCCCTCGAAAGCCATTTTTTTTCGCATGCCCCCCCCCCAAATCCCACCAGCCCCCCCTACCTTATAAAAAATGAACGGTCCCTTATCCTTCAAATATATTTCGCAAATATTCTTCGTAGTTTTGAAAAGTGGGGAATATCAGTACACCCGGAAATTTCGCCCGCAAGCGAAAATATTTGTTGGGTTACAATTCAAGCTAACTCAGCAGTTAGAGCACCAACTGGTATCTGGTAGGCACTGGGTTCGAATCCTGTCGACTGACTGAAACTTTATCTTCAGTAGAGGTAGTTTCAATAATGGGATAAGCACAGAGGCCCAATTGTCAAGAGTTTGCGCCCGGTAATTGAAATTTCATATTAGAAAATGATGTGTTCCTCAGGAAGGCACTTCACTCTTACGCTGCCTTTCTCTATTCCGGTGTAGCAACATTCCATGTCTATTACATGACCATAAACATATCTTACATTTTCTTATTGGCAGGTTCCCAGGAACCGGAAGTGGTTTATGCACGCTATTTACTCCGTCACTTCCGATAATCGCCCAAGGCCCGCTCGCTCAGTTGGAGGTTCCACCACTGATGAAAACCACGTGACCTCTCACATCTTATCTGAAGTAGATAGCCGCTTATTCAAGCTTTCCCACAGGTTATACCGCCGCGATATTGGAGACACACATGAAATAGGATTGCATGGCCAAGGAACAAACATCAAGATGATACGCCTGTTATCCGAGCCAGCGGAAACACGACACAATACGACATCTGAAGAGATCAAGCAGATGACGTCAGACACACCCCGCGATACAAGCTTAGTAAATCCGCTGGTTATCGGTATTGCGGGAGTTTGTTTGCTACTTTTGATTGCATTGGTGGTCGTGGCTGTCATGTTTAGAAGAAGACTGCTGACACAGCAAACCCAAAACTCTCCAGCCGTGGAGACCAGTTCCACAGAAGTTACCGTGACACAAGCTGGAGGGGTCTCAGTGTAACGGAGCATATAACATATACAGCAGATCATGTGTAATATATTCAGTCTATGATCAGTATTAAACAGCTCGTAACACGCTTCTAAAGCTAGCCATTGACGTAACGTTAACGCACCATCGTTTTTGACTGTTATCATGTCACGTATTCTTGTGTGATCGTAATTACTTTGTTCCGAATGAGGTCACAGGGAACAATTTGATTTGTCACGCAGCGAAGTCAAGGGTCACGCGACGAGTAAGATAACAGCATCACTTCTGATTCAAGCAGTCTCGCACGAATCTGAGCTGGTTATAGTTTATATCAGGAAGAAATGAGCAGTAAGCTCACTTCAGTCAATCCAAGAGAGAGTTGTTGTTGTTGCAAAGCTTAAACTTCAGAATGCTTTCGTAAACAACCGTAAGCAGTCTATAGCATATACTAGCAGAATAAAGCTAGCTAAGATGAGAGATCATGGTCAAACGTTATCAAAAACCGAAAATTTTACAAAAATATTTATTCCTTTCGAGATGATACCATGGTTATGATAGCATCCAAAACCAACTGAACAAGCTACCTTTTTGAAGCGTGCGTGCTTTAATATATAAAGAGGTTCCAATCTTTTTAACAAACAAATTGCTCAGCTCTTAAGAAGACTTTTTACAAAATAACCGTTATTACAAACCCGTTAACAAAAACAGTTACATACAGCAGTAACAAACAATGCACCCTAATAACAAGAAATATGGAACCTATAAAAACAGGTTATTAATCTATACTATAAATTTCAATATGGATGTATAAAGAGAAGCTTAAGTGACATCAACGAAGACATGGGGGAAAAGAGACCTTTTTACCTATTACATAAAGCGCTAAATGATACAATTCTACAGGAACACAACTTGATAATTACATGCTATGACTAACCAATAATATTTGTATAATATTTATGCTAGGAAACCAGCTGACCACATATCAGCTCATCATTTATCTGAGAAAGATTAAACATGTTATTTTAATTACAACTGTAATGATTTATTTGTGAGAATTGCCATGGAAACTTGTCAGTAATAAGTCTTGTTTACACTAGAGTATAAGCATAAGAATAATAAACATATACAGACGCGGTAAGATATTGATAATTAGCTTGTTTTTTTCAGGAAAATCTCCCGTCGCAACGAAAGGCCCTCGACTTAAAAGAGTTCAGTCACGTTATTTTGACCACGTATAAGATTACCTTTACACTAAAGGAAACCTGAAAATAGTAGTTTACTAACACAGAAAAACACCAAAGAGACAGTAATAAACAATAAAATAACAAGGTTGGTTAAAGATGGTGAAGATCGCGATGAACTTGAAAAACCTGGGCTAAACTTTTCAAGACGCGCTGATCGTGAGGTAGTCCCTTTAACAGCTCCTTACTGTTTCTTGTTTATGCTAATACTTATGCCCTCGTGAAAACCAACTTTACAACTTGTCATATTTCCTTGACGCAGTGTATACAGCTATTTCACCGCCCTGCGCTTGTCCCTCTTTGCCAACTGGAACAGGGCCTTGCAAGTTTAATGCCACGTGTCGATAACGGCGACCCTCGGTTCCAATGATAAGAAAGTTGCAGCGTAGAGTTACATTTGCAAATCTGTTATTCCACTTTTCTGCAGAGCAATTTTTTGATCAGTATGTTTCTAAACTCTTTGCGCATCGCTGGGTTCAAGGCGCCGTAAATTATGGGGTTGATCCATGCGGAAAATGTCGTAAACATCGCACACAGCGACTGCGCAACGACAGGAATAGATATATCACAACCGAAACGTAAGAGAAATGATACACTTAGTGGAGTCCAACAGACAAAAAACCCAAGAACAGCAGCAAAGAGTAATCGTGAGGCTTTAATGTCTTGTGCTCGTATTGTTGCACGGGCGCTTGATGCGCGTAGGGAAGGGGCAATGAAGGCGTTATGATGTCTGACTACGCGATAGACGCGGCCATACCCAAACAACACCACAGACATAGAGACAGCGAAGAAACTTGCATAAAACACGTACATAATTCTGTCTTTGCGCTGATTGAGAGACATCCCTCGGCAGTGAAATCCGTACGGGTCCCATCCGGAGACAACAGGAAATGTGAAAGTAAACGTGAGGTAGAAGACAAACAGAAAGATCCAAACGCTAAAAATGGATAACGCAGTTTTCTTTCTGGTGAAGAACGTGGAGTATCGGTGTGGTTTTACAACGCAAAAATATCGATTAATCGATGTGAGTGCGAGGACACAAAGCGACACTTGCGCCCAGTAATATACGAGAAAACCAGAGAACTGGCAGAAATTGTGACTGAATGGCCATCTGCGGAAACCAGACGCCATTGTAGAAAATGGATACACAAGACTTGCTACAGTCAAGTCGGCTATCGCTAGAGATAGCACGTAAAAGTTTGTTACAGTGCGTAATCTTCTATTTCGGTACAAAGCGAGACAAACCAGACAGTTTCCTATAAGTGAAGCAACTGTCGTTATGGCTGCAGTGATTGTCTGTATGATCACTTCGAACAAGCTTCTTGTATCTTCGAGTGTCCGCTCCATTACTGATACTAATGTAAGACTCGTGTGAGGCCTTTGGAAGACTTTGCGATCTTGACTTAGGCGGCTATCTGATTCTTTACCAGAATCTGATTTTAGAGTTACTTTCTTTTGGGGTACTTCAATTCAAGCGCAGTAAAAATGTTATGCAACTGATGGCGACTGATACATCGATAACACCTGGAACAATGTTGACCATTATTGGTTGGATCACAAAGCACATGCAATTAAAGTCAAAAACGAAAATACAGCACTCTTATCATTTTGGCAATTACGCCACTTAACTAGGTGTTTGAAATAAGAACCTGTTCTTCGAAGATAAAAGTTTATTTTCGTACAGGATGCTTGAATTCGAAATAAAAACCGTTGCAAATAGAACAATTTGGTGTCTTTTCAACCCAACATATTCTGATTTTCTCAAATCAATTCTCAAAACGCCTTATTACTCTTATTGTTTGAACAGAGTTACAATCTCTTCAAACAAAGTTGTCATCTTGCTAGCAACACCCCCAGCAGAGATCTCATGGATAAGTTTAAAACACATTTGGAACTTTTTGTTGTTCATGCTGGCACGCGCCTGAAACGTTAATTTTGGGAGCAGTTTTAATTACATTCGTAAGTATCGTGCAGGGATTTCGATTCTCTGATTGTTTTACTTTTAAATTGCCAAAATGCTTAAGATTTTCTAAGGAATTATCCAGGTTGCTTTTAATTATTGAAGATGTCACACCGGAGAGGTAAAGATTGAGAAAAGCAAACATGCCGCGTCCACAAAAAGGGAGCACTTTTAACATTATTAATTTTTGAGCGTTGTTAAGGGGTTCCCGTGGACTGTAAAAGCCAGGAATTACTTTGATCATGATACTAAAATTACGGTAGACACTGGCAGCTGACTGAAGTTTTTATTGTTTTGTATATTTGTTTGTATGTTCAGTTCTCGTGGGAGAAATTATCTATTTTTCTTTTGTTTAAATTATTAGCTATTGCACGAAACTATCAAAGTTTATGGACACGAAGAATATTGCGCGGATCTATTAAATAAATATCATAAATACCTGTGGTATTTTACGCACAAATTCACACGACACACGTTAATTCATTTTCACTTTTCGTCTGTCCAAATATCTTCCTTGTTTCCGATAACACTTAACACTTTTTTACATGATGAAAATATTCCGCCTGTTTTCTCTCATGACCAAGATTTGGTTAAGGCTTTTGCCTACTTTTGTGACGCTAGCTGCGCAACCCCTACTCGCTCAGCAGGTTTTTCCACCATTAACATTCCTCATAGCGTTTTTGAAGTGGATAACCACTCATTGAAGCTCACATATTACATAACCGCGATGTCAAAGAAGCGCAGCGGACAAATATCAAGATGATACGCCAGTCGTCCAAGCCAGCAGAAGTGCAGGGTGCTGTAATACGTCATGGGAACAGCTTGAAGAGTCCGCGTACTTTCAGGCACTGCTATCTTCGTGAATGTTTAGCAGCTCTTGTGGTCAGAGATTTAACAAGTTCTCCTTTATACAAATCCCAGCTCTCTAAACACTGAATCCGGTGACGTGCGTCAGGCACAGTCATGTAATCTTCGCGCTGGTGGGAAAAGTACAAATAATTAACTTTTCCGTCAAATAAATTTGGTAATCTGTCTTCAAGGCTACACAGCCTTACCAGACGGGCGTACGACAAGGATAATTACCACTCCCCTGAGTGAGATTTTAGTCCACGGTACGTTATCCCCTCCCCTCCCCCTTGCACTTTTTTCCACTCCCTGGGAGAGAGGTACAGGGCTGCTAAACAAAACGAGAAATGATTCAGGCTGGTTTTCCACCGTTGACGGCCGCTTGGCGCTGGTTGAAGGGACAGCACCCTGACTAATTATCGGATAGTTCCCTTTCCTAATTTCCATGTGATTTTGCCAAACATACAAGATTCTTCTTTTGTCTTTCTTCTTGCCATTACAATATATTACAGCGAGTTTATAACAAGTCCCCTGTCACCGTGTCGGGAAAAAGTAAATCTGTTCTGTCATGATCAGGAACACATATTAAAGCGAGTTTTTTGTCACGAAGTACATACCAAAGCTTTTAGTTGTACAAGTGTAGTGATGCTAGCGTTCATTAAGAAGAACCTTTTGTTTATCATGATGCACTCGGCGCCTTCACTGATCTGAAAACACAAAAAACAAATTGTTTGTGAAAACGTTTTTAAGTAAGCAACACACTAACACACAGCTGCTTAGCAAGAGTCATCACATAATTGACTCCTTCAATTTCCTACACAGACCTCCCCTCCTTCACAAGAGAGAGTCTTTCAAAAGAGGTCGAAGGCCGTCGTTTGATTTTTTTTCTCCTTTTATGGTCAACCACAGAGAATTTGTTATATCTGTGAAGGTTAAGTCTGCATACGAACCAAGTGGCCTACCAGGCTGGAGCTTATCCCGGTTTCCGCATTGTGAATCGACTAGTAATAGNGGATGGAATGCTAGTCTATCGCAGGGTTACCCCCAGCATTAAATTTGCCGGTGCCCATTTATACACCTAAAGGAGGAGAGCGGTACTGTGAGAGTTAAGTGTCTTGCTCAGGAACACAACACAATGTCCCCGGCCAGGGCTAGAACCCAAACCGCTCGTAGGGGAGAGCACTAACCATGAGGCAACCGCGCCTGCTCAGTTATATACTCTGTTATTCACTCTGCAATATCTCTAGGTAGCTTTTATTACGTACCAAAATAAGACTTTTCGTTGAGGGATCCTGATTTTCTTCAACCGCATCAGCCTGTAGGGGAAATGTAATAATGCAGGTCAATGGAGAATCTAACTTTGAAAGTTCTGTTACTGGTTTATGATTAGACAGGGTTACAAATGAGCGTGCACGACAACGAACTACGACCTTACATGTTGCAAGAAAGTCAGTGCTATCTCTATCCTGCCGTGTAATTAATAAAGCCAGCTTAACGGAAAAACGATACTGTCCGAGTAATGGAATTAAAAAAGAGGGGGCGTGGGTTCTCACTCAGAAAACGCAAACCAAGAGGTGCAAAGGTTATTTGGTGGACAATGTCTCAAACAGGGTACACAATTTTGATAGTTGATGTTCTTATGCGCAGTCAATAGCAATAAACAGTTTTAAATCTAAAGTAAATATATCTTATTAGATGTTTTGGTGTGTAGTATCGCTGTATATTTTTACGAGTTGTGCCGTATTTTGACGAGCCCGTAGGGCGAGTCAAAATAGAAACAACGAGATAATGAGAGATTTATTATCCAGCAGCTGTAGTCAATAAATTTATCAATGAAAGAGGGAGAGTGTGACAGTTTTGCGTGCGCGCGCCGACCTGTACGGCAAACAGGTTTTCTACTGTACAATATCGCTGTATATTTGTACTGTTATTTGGACAGTATTCGCTGCAGTTGGATAATAAAGTCCCCTATTTCGGGTTAGAAACGTTTTATCTGTACTCCCCACTCGGAGTGATTTACACCGTATAAACCCCCTTCAGGGATTGTGATGTTTGTTCCCTGAACTAAAGCAACCTACCTCTGAACTTATCTTGTTCGCAACCTTTGGCATCATGGATTCTAGGCCCTATTGAAAAGAAAAATATTCATCAAGAAAATACCTAACGATTTTAATCTTGATATTAACTCTTTCGCGAAGAGAACAACTTCGAGAGTTCGTCAACTCTCAATGTCGTGGTCTTCAAACTTACGACGAATATATCAAACACGAGAGACAGTGCTTCATTGGGATATCCAAACACCGAGAAAAGAGCTGAAAATACGACGCGTAGCGGAGTATTTTTGACGAAATTCGAGGTGTTTGGATAGCCGATGAAACACTTTCTCGAGTGTTTGATGTATCTCCTCAATCGAAAAAAAACTATCGAGGAAACGGAGAAGTGAAATCGTCAAAGTCTATACTAATTAAGACCGCGTATGCAAACCTCCTTGACGATTGTGATTTTCCTTTTATTAACTTGATGAATTATTAATGAGGTTGAGAAAGAAACAAACAATGGAAACCATATTTACAACGACCACGACGGCAACGCCGAGGACATGCAACGTCGATTAAAATAAGGAATTCATGTTCACCAACGAATCTCACGATTCTCTAAAGTCATATAATTTTTTTTTTCTATTTGTCAAACTTAACACAACGTTAAATTCGAAACAGACAATTCAAAATGAGCCATCATTGCAGAATTTGGCCATTTCACGTTGTTGTTTTGCAGAGGAAGACAAAGAAATGAACGTGCACAGCCATTGTTCTGCTCATTAAACCTTTCATATAGCGGCATTCCCTTTGCCTTTGCCGTTGTGGTTTTCGTAAACTTCCTGGTAACGCTAACTCTCTGTGATAGCAAGGAATAAAACTAAATAAAGTTCAGTTACGTTGCAGTTCATCGTAAAGAAAACAATGAATGTGACACTTACAAACATATTTCCTGGTTTGAGTACAGCGATTTGTAGAAGTGCTGTTCGCGTGGGAATGCTAACTGACAGCTCAGACAGTCTTTTGCTCACTTTTTGTTCAGCAGTCATTAACTTCCGTGGGCATGTCATGACAGAGTGATCAAAAACTGGGTCCTGCGACATAACAAAGAGAACACGCGTTTTTAAAACGACAACAACACCACCAACGACAATGACAACAATATCAGTTTTCCAACCTTGAAAAAGATCGGAATCTTAACACTAGCATGGTGCTCTGGAAAACAGCAAATGAAGGGATACGAACGTAATCGCTTACCTAACTAATTAAAAAAAAGAGATAGACTTAAGAAATCGAAGCATAAAGATTTTTTTGTGGCCGTGTATAGACCTTTATAGTAGTGGTTTGTTTCCCCATTACAGACCACATGATATTCCACAGGGAATTGATCTTTTATCCATCTGAGGCCCTGTCCACACTAATCCGACACGAAAACGGAGCTTTACGAAAACGCTCTTCAAACCGGAGGAATTTGAAAACGCCGGCTTTGCGTTTAAGATTATTAAGAGGTTACGATAACTATATGATTCCCTGACCGAGGTTTTCTTAAATACAAATCCAAAATGACCGGTGATTGTCGCGTTTTTAAATTTCTCCGGCGTAATGTGGACGGAAAACATTTCATGTGTTTTCAGAATGAAAACTCCGTTTTCAAATTTCTCCGGCGTAATGTGGACGGAAAACATTTGATGTGTTTTCAGAATGAAAACTCCGTTTTCAAATTTCTCCGGCGTAGTGTGGACGGGGGCCCAAAAATTATTCATTCATACACACGCGACTAATTGAAAATTTGAAAGCAAGAATCAGTCTCAAGGTCTGAAATGGGTCAACAAACTGTCCAAGTTAAAAAGTTCTATTTCATTCATCTATTTACGTAACGGCCACATAGCTTACATTACCGGCCAACGCCGAGCCCTGAATAAGCTCCTCCAAGTTGGCTATTGGAAAATGGAAAGTCAAATTCACAAATATTTCAAACGCGAAAACATTGAGTGTACTCGATAAAGTGAACTTACTTTCTCAAGGTCATGTGATCTGCTAGGTTCATGGTCCCTCTTCTCACCAAACATAATTCCTGAATCCTCTGTAAGTTTTACGTTCGGGTGCAATGAATTGACTGTCAAAAAAATAAAATAAAATTTTAAAAAATTGAATATAAAAAACTGAAGTTAAAAATTAAAAGAGAATCATTCTCTAATTGCAACTTGAGTTTAGCGAGCGTGGAAGCCTCTACTCACGAGTAAAAACAGGAGCGGTATTATTCACACTTATAATGCCAAAACACAACGTTGCAAAATGCAATGAATTTTATTTTTGTACGACAAATGTATTGACGAACATCAGTCACATACCCGATTTTCTCCGCATTTTATCAAATCGTGGTGTATTTTTTTGAGAGTAACATTCAGTAAGCTGTCGAGAAAGATTAAAGCAAAATTAGAATCAGGTCATAGATGTGACGCCGGTTAGTTTTTTTTCCAGGCGCAAGAATAAGTGGCAAGGGCGGTGCTGACAGAGGTTAAATAAACTCAAGTACAGAGGTCTCTTGAACCCTTGATTTTTTTAGTCCCCGATAAATCAGACCGAAAGTCGTTTTTCCTCCTCAGTCGAACGCTGTAATCATTTTTATCCCCGATTTCTCGAACTACCCGATCTTTCAAACCAATTTTCGTTTCCCTTGGAAGTTCAAAAAAATCGGGATTCCAAGTTTTTCCCTTAATTTCCTGTGTGCCGAACATACCTCCAGTAGGCTAGCAGGGTTTTTGCCTGGAGTCGAACCTGTACAGAATTAAGATTAGAGATTAGTTGAATTACTATCGTACGCGGAAAAGAACGATTTTTACTTACTTCTCTATTCCCTTTTAATCCTAACAAAAATCAGGATTGCAACTGCTACAAACCATGGGCTCCTAAAACTTCTTAGTAAAAACACTTTTGTACGTTTGTAACAATGGCTATACGTCAGAACAAATTTCAGGAACCTTAGTTGAACATCTACCAAAAAACAGAGCGACAACTCGCGAGGGAACCGTAAACAGCTATCTAAGTTTATTTTTTTATTTTTTTTTTAGTAACCCATGACGCAATAAAAAACGTTAGTCACCAACCTCGTTCCCAGGCTCTCTTTCCTCTGCCTCCCTTGTCTTCGGGAACGAGGTTGGTTAGTTACATAGCAACTTTCCAAAACGGAAACTGGGGGTTCATTGACTGACAACTTGTCTCTACACTAACATGTGTAATACATAAATGTAAGCTTCAGATTTCATCTTACGTGAACGTGTTCTCGGTGTTGTAGCAATGCTGGGAAGTTTTGTCGTCTTACTCATATCCAGAACATCCTGTTTTCTTACAACCTTACACCTCCCCTATGGAGAACGTGCAACATGTAACCATGGTAACCCATTAATTACTCAAACAGAGTATTTGAACGTGACTATTAAATTCTACAAGTCAACAAGGGTACTGTTGTTTGGGAAAGAACAACAACAACAACAACAACAAGAACAACAAAAAAATTAACTTGATGGATGTCTTACCGATTTTACGATATAGAAGAATGGAGTATCATTGCTGTCCCTTACGATCACTGCATCCTTCCTACGCACGAGAAATAATTTAAAATTATCAAACAGTTTTGTTTTTCTCGTTCTTCTGTACGTACATGCTGATGGTTATATGTTATATACTGCTGCGAATCACGGTGGGCACAAAATAAGAGGAGCGCGCTTCTCAGTATGTCTGAACATGCGCTAATGCATCGCTTATGCTTTTCGATTTGTGTTTTCTGTTCTCAGTATTTATCAGTATTTTTTTGATTTGGCTTATGTTCATGTCGTACGGTAGAGAGCCTCACTTAACAAAAGACTAACAACTAGTCGAGCTATTTTTGCGGTCTATAAAAGAACTGACAGAACACAACAGAGGATCTCAGAAAGATTCACATGAATGAATAATTATACTCACGCGAAGTATTTGGTCACAATGGCATCTTTTTCCTCGAAAAACTTTTCCAGTGGGAAGTTTCGAAAAAGTTCAATTGACCTGAACGAGATTCAAGAAAGAAAAAAAAAATGATTAGCCGCAAGAAAAAAACATTTACATTCTTGGCAGTCTGGCAATTGAAGTATAGTTAAGATACTGAAAATGACAAAACTGATCAATCGGGAACTTTATAGTCAGTTTTCTGGAGGATTTTATGGGTTGACATTTTGAAAAGTTCGTTTCGTCAGTGCAACATCTTCTAATACGCCAATTCCTTTTACTTCGGAACGCTGCCAAAAAGACAGTAATTGTCTTAAGCCGCCCTTATTCCCGAATTTTGCATTGCTAATTGATAGTGCTTGTCATTTTAGGGTTTTACGCATGAACCTCAAATTTTAACCTCCAATCTGAACTTTTGTCGAACATTGAATGGTTGATGAAGAGACTTGGCAAAGTCCGTTTTGCGACATTTGTAATAAAGCGACATTGTTGTAATTATAGAGCCACGGTTTTATGTTTTACTCACTAAGCAACTCAAACAACACACCCTGTTTCTTTAAACCCTCAGTAAAAATTAACTAAACTTCCGCAAAAAAGCATCGCAACAAAATTATGCACAACTGTTTATCGTCCTCTCGGCTTGCATTCCGCCGTCCTTGTTCAGGGAAGAAGCGTTTTCTCAGCGTAAAAAGAGGCCGCTAAGGCATCAGTGTATAACGAAGTATCCGTTTAACAATAGCAAGAACCGTAGCCAGTAGCTAAACAGTACCTCAATGTTTCAATCGGTAAACCACCGTCTGGACTTGTGTTCATCAACTCCATGAAATCCTGCAAGAAACTTTGAGTTAGATTCTTTACTGCACATGACACTTTCATTCACCGGACCATACTCCATCACCTAGAAAACCATTAACTCGCCAAACGTAACAATTACCAGATGATATTGTCCCTTAGTTGGTCTTCTTCTTCGTGAGCGCAGCGAAGTGTAATTTACAGCGTGCAAACAAGTTCACAATGATTGCTTGAGCATGGTCAGTCATGTGTCCATGATGAATTACCTGTTTATGTTACACATGAATAACCAATATGTCTGACGTCTATGCAAAGTCGTGCGAAAAACATTTTAACTGTATTTTGGTTTCTGTTTTTTTTTTTTTTTAACTAAAAACGATATTAGAAGGAAAATTTTAATGCGAAGTTGTCTTTTCTTAGAATTCCAAGATGAACAGGACTAAAAAACATTTATTGCTTTCAATTCTTTTCTGAAAAAATGATCCAAAAACTCCTATTGTTCGTAATGGAAATTTAATTCAAATCCACTTTTAATAACCTTGCGTTGTTATTACATTATTGTGCCGGTCCTCGATATTTTCATTAAGGAGCTTAAGCAACCACAAAAAAAAGGGAAACGAAAAGGCCATTTAACAAAAGCTTTAATACATCTTGGAACATTTCAGAGCTCTCACTCAGGTCCCTAAGCAATAAAAACTTGCAATAACTGAATTCTAGGTCTGTTTAATGGACGGAATATGTGAATCAAGAAGGCAAATTTTTCCACACATTCGGCTTTGTTGTATGCCGGACTTGTATCGTTCTGAGCTTCTATCCAGTATATGGCTAGTTCCGACCTAAATTGAGTTGATTAACAATTCACGCTAAAACTATTACTCTAATTTGACCAAAAGTAGAAACACAAGATTACTTTGAGTTAATTATAAAGGAAAAGGAAATAGCTGGAACTAAAAAACACTCTATAATCATTGTATTGTGGCATTCTTAGATCAATCATGCGATCCGGAAAAGAGAACTGATTTAGATTTAATTTCTACATGCTTGAGTACATATATTGCCAATTTCTGATGAATTGATTTGCAAAAGTTTTCGCCCGAAGGGCTAAGAACCTTTGCCGAAACTGGGGGCATATCGAAGCAAACACGAAGGCTACGCCACAGCCAGGGCATTTATTACTCCTAATCGATCAGTGACTTTCACAACTGCATGCAATGCAAAACAAGTAAACAAACATGTTGTCTAACCAGCTAATCATATGTACAATATAAACATCGCTGACGCAACATAACACGAGTTTACTTTGAATCCTTACTGGTTTATCATGCGGTATTGCGTTCAGAGCTTAAGATAAGTTTGGTGTTAGTTTTACGGAAAAAAAAACCATTGCATGCTCAAGTTTTTACATGTGTTTACCTAACTCATTCTTACCTCTTTATCAAGCACGAGCACTTCAACAGGTCCTTTACATATCAGAGAGTGTTCTCTTTCTGTCCCATTCATTAATTCCACGGGCTTTAAGAATCAAAGAAAGAAATGTGACAAGTTAATTCGCCTGGTGTGAAGCTTCTCAAGAGGTGACCAATTACGTTATCCATGTATAGCCGAATTTTTTCAGCATTTTGTTTCTAGCAGTCAAAGGACAAGTCTCAATTCATTCTATTAAACACTCTCCCACAAGAGGTTTTTCACATAGATTTCACCCAAGACAGTTACATAGAATATTAAAATATGATTATTTCGTTCCCGCGCGCTGTTTCCTTGGAAAACCATAAAAAAAATAAGAGTTCCCGTATGAGGGCTGTACGAGTCGAAGTGATAGGTCCGGAAAAACATAAGGCCCTACTAGAAATGCTTTCGGCTCCGCAAAATCGCTGCAAATTAATGACGTAAACAATATTTTTACTGCAAAATTTTGTTTTCTTTAAAATGACTGATGAAAGTAAACATTTTTTACTATCCTGGCTGAACTGTCCAATGCGGAACTCAATTTACACGAAAGCACAGAAAGAAAGTCAACACTCCTCACAAATGAAGAAGTTGAAAATGAACTGAAAAACATTTGACTCTCTGTCAAGACACAAGGGCTCACACATGTTATCTGCACTACATGAATACAGCTTTTGGAAAACCATGCAATTGACATTGAAGTCAAGGCAGTCGCAGTGTGAAATCATTTTAAGAAATACACAAGATGTTATACAACCTGTGATTGGTAAAAACATTTCACCATAACTCTATAGAACATCTCTTCAAAACAGAAAATTCTTTCCAGCTTCATTTCACCGTAAAATAATTTTTTAAAAAAAGTGTTTTCTTCTTCAACAGCTAGACAAATGTATATTGCGAAGAAACACACAGTATTCTTTTTAGCTAGCTTGGATTATATTTGGACGTAGGGCTGGAGTGGATTTTTCTATTTACTTTCAGTGTACTGTGCTAACTTCCAGTTGCTTCTATAAACTTACATCAGTTGTGTTTCCCTGCATGAGTTCTCCAAAAGACATCTTTGCGACGCCAGCAGCCAAGTCATACACACATACTTTACTCACTAGTTAATAATAATCAACAAATATTGTCATTAAACGAGGATGTAACGATTGTAACGTAACGTAAAACAACCCATCGCACGTCTGCGACGAAATAACTGTTTACTGCTAGGCTCGCGGTGCATTTCTGTCTCGCAAGTTTTGAGTATTGTTATGAGAATAATAGACTTTCATTTTCACTCCATGAAGAGCCGACCTATTTATACTGAAATAAATTTTACGGTTCGTCCCCACATCCATGCACTCTTGAGATGGAGTACAGAAAACTGCATTAAAGCATCAACTAACAGCAAAAGAACTAGCAAAATAGGTCAAAATAAACTTGAAGGCCTTGAAAATAGAAAATTAGTCATTTCCAAGGCACTAAGTCTTGAGCAATAGTAGCTGGCCCAGAATAGCTTTGCTAGCTGCGAGCTACTAAGTCTTGTAAACCTATTATGTATAAATAAGGTTACTGTTACTGTTACTGTTACTGTTACTGTTACTGTTACTGTTACTGTTAAAGTTCAGTCTTAAAATCGTTAACAATACACTAACTCTTTCAGTTTACCTCTTCCGGATAACACGTAGTAAAACCTCTCTGGTACCCTCCCTTGACAAGCAAGTACTCGGCCGTTGTCGTATCTGAAATGAAAATAAAACAGAAAAAAAAATTAGCGGCCAAACGAACACAAACCAGCAGCTATTCTTGCTCTTGTCGACAACTTCGGGAAGTAACGACATCTCTCCGTGACCACTCGAGTCCATCGGACAGCAGTCGGAAAACTTATACGTACCTCTCATAACCTACAAGACGCGACAGGTCAGCTTCTCTTTCCAGCGGAAATATCATGAACGCACGCGTACTACGACAAAGTCTCTGGATCTGCGAAAGAAAGGAACACAACATGAGTTGGGAAACACGCTGAGCTGATTCCAGAATACGTTCGATTTCCAGCCGTTTTGTGAGCCCGCGTTCCTTGCCCCACAACCGGGCTCCCAAAACGACTGGAATATCGAACCTAATCAGGAGTCTGGCTACTGACCTAATTCCAGACTAGAGCAAAAAAGAAAATCTTGAAAAAAATTCCGCGACTTACTTTTTTAAGCCCTTCATTTGTTCGTACTTTGGGTATCGATGTCAGAATCTGACGAAGCTCATCTGAGATCTGATAAAAATGAAAGTCAATTAGCAGCTAAAAAGGTGTTTCTAAAATCAAATTATCATTGTGATTTGGATTGCGTGTTGAACGAACACGTCCACGTGACAAGTTAGTGAAGTACACTTCACGAGATTTTAAAACTACCGTAAAAAGAAAAAAAAACATTCCTGAGAAAAGACTTTTGCTGCCAAGATATTCTAGCTAGCAAACAGTTTTACGTTATCTTACTATCTTTAAAACTGTCGCTGTGCTTAAACGAACTAAAAAGGAAATGTGTACCTTGCTTTTTCCTTTGAATGATCGTGAATCGAAACCAATTCCTGAATTCTTTTGACTGCCTTTTCCTGTACCTGACTGGGCTGAAGCTCGGCTGCTTTTAGTGCTGCTATCAGGCCTCTTGTATCTGTGCATTATAAGGGAAAATAAAGTTATTTTAAAACTAAGCAAGGACTTTTTTTCCTGACAAAACAAATGAACTGTAGACGTTTTGGCACGATCAACTTTTAACTATGACAAGTCAAACAACAACAATTTTATTTATGCTCCCATAAAACTAAACGTAAAAAAGTATAAGAATAAAAACAATAAACTAAAGAAAAGATTTCACACAATCCGCAAACGTTCTAAGTTTCCTTCTCCAGTTTGGAGTCCGATCGGGGGGAGTTTCTCAGATTTAAAGATTTGTGTTTTGGGAGATGCAATGATTGCAGTCCACCGATCGAAAACGTGAATTGTGCTGAAAAGAGATTTCAAAGGGTATTTTAATCACCGTGGCAAAATAAAAAAGCTGCCGAAAACGTTTTCTCTCCCACGGAAAAGAACTAGATTTTTTTGTTTTCAAACCTACGTAATTTATTTTCGCGTGGAAAAGATTTGTTCAATAGTAAAAATTGATTTTCAATTAATCTGGTCAACTCTAAATGTTTACATTTCGGCCGTTTTGGACAGGAGTTGAAATGGCTTCGTTGAATAAGTATTTGCCAATTTCACGTCATATAATTTACACAAATCTGAAAACTGACTTTTTCTTCCCGTATGGTTGGAGAAACATATTTCACAGCACAATGAATTAAAGAACGGACGAACAGGAATAAATTTGGAAATTACCTTATAGGTTGCGTTTAAGCGAAGCCCAACGAGCTAGAATCTTGAAAATTACCTGATTAACTTACGAAACAAGTAAGGGACACTGAATTCGCCTCTTAATTGTAATTTTTAATGAATGTCGATACCTTCTCCATCTCATACAGGACGAAACAAGAACATGAACTACTCGAGCAGCCCAGACAAATTTCTCCAAAGCCTGTACAAGAGAAAAACAAAGAAAAAAAGCCATATAAGATATCATGTTGTGTTCTCTTCAGAACGGTGGCTTCAGTGGGTTTTTCACTTTTTACAGATCTTCTCAGCGATGTCCCAAACATTATTAAAGGGTTTAACTAAACACATGTTAACTTTCTTAGCCAAACGAAAATATACTATTAAAAAACGTGAACGACGCTCCTACCTTACCCATGTCCGCAAATGCAAATTTTTGTTGGCTTGTCGTTTTTTTAAAATATGTTCAAAAATCGTTCTTCGCAAATGTCGTAACGAAGCCGTTTGTAAATATTATGACATGGAAGAATATTTTCAAGATTATTTGTGCAGGTGATATGGTGTGTATGTTTCCTGCGGGTTTGTTTTTCTGCACGGAATGGGGACGTTTCATTAATTCACTGCTCTATACAAACCGATTGTTTTGAATAGCGGAAATCACAGCATCTTTGGCGGTCTTTTATCTTGTCCACAGGTATTAACAAGTTTTACAAAACGCTGCGGCGAACTAATCTCCCTCGCTTGCCACAACTGAACATGGCTTACAAATCTACACCACAAGCTTGGGTTATCAATATAATGCAGTCACCGCTACTTCCTTCCGTTTGATTTCATCCTTTCTTTGATTGAAACGCTGTTGGAAGATATTTGGTCAGAATTCTGATCGAAAAGTGAAATTTAAATTACCCGGAACAGAAAAATCATTACTCTTATTGTTAGTTCTGTTAANCACGCAGCCTTGGGAGGTTCCAAGTTTCCACTTGTGCTTTAAGCTAACTCGCGCGATCATCCGCTAGCCTTATGACTTGAAATCGCGTTAGCGGCTGGATTAAACATCCATTTTATTTTTAACTTCATGTCCAGATTACAACGCAAATGAGGAGACAAATAAATGTACCTGGTGCATTTGTGTCTTAACTATGCACTTCATAATAAAGTTAAAATACGGTGCTGCGAGACTCAAGATGCTAACTAAAAAAGAAATGGAATAGATTGGTCGTGTGGACGTGCAAGGGAAAGGAGATGAAAGTACGACAAAATAACAGGCGGAGGTCAGGATAACAAGAACTTGTGACAGCGTTAAATGATGGAGCAACAGGACGGGTGGGGGATCTAAAGACTGTTCACGCCCTATTCTTCACGGAGGAGCAATGGCGATTGTAGCAAAACGTTTGCGCAAGTTGCAAGTGACATTATCGTGAACCTGCGTAGGGTCAACAGGTCCATATCACCAGAGTTTGTCGGCTTCTGTTGCATGAAGTGACTAGGAGTATTTCTTCTGTACTCCCCCTGGATGGGATTCTAGTCCATCTCAAGGTTGACCCCAGCATTAAATTTTCCGGTACTCATTTATACACCTGAGTGGGGAGAGGCGCTGTGACAGTCACGTAAAGTTTCTTGCCGGCCAAGAACACAACACAGTGTCCCTAGCCATGGCTCGAACCAGGACCGCTCGATCTGGAGTACATTGCGCTAACGGTTCGGCAACCGGGCCTCCTCAAAACCTCCGATATGTATATAAGCAAATTCTCTAGAACTATCCCAGGGGTTTTACCAGGTTTATATGTGTTCTGTTGCCCTTGCGTTCAGAAATTTTCTTTCCTGCATGCTGGCTAAAGCACTGACTGAATAGTTTTTTCTTTTGCTACGAGTTATTTCTTCACCCCTTGCGTTCGAACTTCTTAAAATCCCCTGCGGTTAATTCTTTTGTTTACGATCTCCACAAACTCAATACAAAATAGGGGGGTCTGTAGACAAACTAATAACTGATCTGTGTTGATATTAAAGAAATAAAAAAAATGAGCGTGATTGTATAGAAGGATTCAAACACGATAGGGAATATGATTAAGGTGGGAATATGGCGATTTTCTGTTCCTTTTATAAACTTGTAAAGCTTGCAGTGTGTTACGTAACGTTATCACCAGTTGCGTTAGCGACTGAGGGATTGCGTTATTTGAACAAAATTTATAGAAACTTTTAATCCGATTGATCTTTGGGTCCTTTGGGTGAACATACATGTATAAAATTCCATTTATTCCAAAAGTTTGTTTCCAAGGTACCTTTATGATGCTTTCCCCACAGTAATGATTTTCCTACGAGAGCCAAGATTGAGCTGATCACACTTTAAAAGAAAATTTGAGAGTTTATCAATTGTTGCAGTGTACTAACCTCAATGTTGTCAAGCCTTTGATGGGTTTTCTTTATAAGAGCTGTCACTAACAGTGGTGCTTCAACAGCGCTCTGGCTTTCCCGTCGAAATTTCTGAAGCTCCTGAACTCTTCTCTGTATCTCTACTGCCGTCCTCTGAGCTTCCACGCTTGGCTGGATCATAGCAATTTTATCTTTACCGCGGTCTTTCCGCGGTAAAAATGGTTTTGGTAGATGAGGAACGGGTTGATCTTCGTTGTCAAAGTTGATGTTAATGTTAATGACGGACTTTTCATAAGCCATTTTGGAGATCAAACTGCTTCCTATTAAGGGAATCGCGTGGAAGAAATTTCCGTTATGCACAAGAACTATATACTGAGTCTCTGTAAGGTGGAATCTGTGATGAAACTTTGCTCAAAAATAAAAGAAGTGCAAGACTCTTCTGTCACACTTAAATGTGGTCTTTCTATCCTGAATGGGAAAAACAAAACTAAAACAAACTCTTGGACACTGTAAACAAATGCAGGATCAAGCTAGAAACTTACATACTTCGGTACAGTCATAACTTTCAAGTGGTTTGCCGGCAAACACGCTGAATCGGAACATTAGCTAACACCGAGAGTGAATGATGCGACTTACCTTGAAGTCTTCCAAATCCTCACGACGTGCAAAGAAACTTCTACTCTGTCATCTGCAACAAGCTTCTGTATTTCATAATTATTGTGTTTACCAGTGCCACGACACATGTGTTTGAAGTGAATCTCTAATTTTCACCACTCGATCGCTTATGGCAACGCAAACGGAACAGTAAACCGCCACTAAAAAGAGTCTGTGATTTCTAACTAAATCACGTTTTATCTCAATGGTTGAGTGAAAAGCTTTGTTGCTAAGGTCAAGGGATCACTTTTAGAGCGAATAACGGCACACGTTGTTGACTGTTGACTTACTTGTTATCAATTATCTTGAAGTCACTTCACGGTCCACAGTCACAAAGGAAATTTTGGCACAAGAATTTCAGAATAACAATAAAACCGCCTGAAAATCAAACCCCTGGGGAAATATTTGTTTTTTTACTTCAAAACAAAGCATTTACGGCGTTTTAAATCACTCCCTTGTTTGCTTGAAATTTGACGATTTGACGGGTGCCTGAGAAAGGTTATTAAAAGAATGCCGGGATAACCATTTGTGGCGCGAAACAATAACATTGCAATTAATTCTGTCTTTGGAAAAAAGTGGATTAAAGCAATGTTTTTAGGAAAACTTCTGACCTGCAAGAATTATGAAAACAGTTATAAACGAACCACAATGTCACAGTGAATGTCTTGCAGTACTCGACACATCTTTAACGCGGCGGCACGTTTGTTTACCTGTAGCGTTAACTTGCGCGATCACGCGTGACGTGACGTGTTCTCTTCGTGCGTCACACCAGCTCCATAAATGTGGGTTGGCTCACGTGCGGACTTCAACACATCGACGAGGCAATGTGCAGTTAATACTTTCCCCAAGCTATTTGATTATTATTTGGATTAATCTAAGATACACACAAGTATCTTTTTTTAGTTTTTAAGTGACGTATTTCATGAACCTCAGCCACTGCTGAAGTCTGCGTCGAACCAAATGGTCCTTACCGCCGGAACTTATCCCAGTTTCCGTTGGTGTCCAGTGGTTTCCGTAGCATTAAGTGAGTAGGAGTAATTCTAATCCCCCCTAAATGGAATGCTTGTCCATTGAAGGGTTACCCCCAGCATTAAATTCACCGGTACCCATTTATACACCTGGGTGGAGAGAGGTCTGTCAGAGTAAAGCGTCTTGCCCAAGAACACAACAAAATGACCCATGCTACGGCCCGAACCTGGACCCATCGATCTAGAGTTCAGCCCTTTTTGTTTGGAAATTTCCTAAAACAAAAAGCGCGGTGATATATCAGCATCTTAGTGCGTCTGCGTGTGTTGCTTAGGTTTATGAGCTAACGAAGGTAAAAGTGAAAATGAAAACCAGCTTTAAAACACGTTATTTTCTGATGTGTCAAATACTATTCTGAATATTATTTGTTTGCCCCCATATAAACCACTCACCCACGGCCTCCAGTGAACTCAAATTTTCCTCGTGTTACAGTAATACATGGGTTGGGCCTCTTCGTTTGTGAAATAAAAGTTTATGAAATGTTACAAAATCTTTATTTTTTTGGGCCTCAATATCTTCCCCGTCTTGCATATCAACATTGAGGCGTGAATCACAAAGGGGAATGCGCGCTTAATAATGGAGAGAGCATTAAACAGAGACCCACGTTTTACTGAAAAGAAAACTAGGTGAAAGTAATATTACTACCATTATTCTAAGCTTGGAAGAAATACAGTCAATGAAACAAGATTGAAACTGAAGTGAGTCGTTTCTACTAACTGAAGATCCATGTCTAGTAAAAATAGACTGGAGTCAAGGTACCGAGACCCTCCAACGAAACCATTTGAAGGATCTCAGCTAACAGCATTACCAACTCCCTAACATCAGACGTGCAAACAAGCATTGCTCCTCCTGATCCATAAGGATGACTGTCAGCAAACAGGAGGGGGCCGTCCTTGTCAAAAAGAAAGACCCCGGATCGGGAATCTTTGATAAATATAACTGCAAGTCTTTCGTGAAGTTTCTGTAACCTTTCAAGCTGAAAGCCAATGGTTGCAGTCTCGGTTTCTGAAACAAAGCTGACCGGAAGAGAACAGCCGAGGTTTTTAACTTGTAAAGTGTTTCCAAACTCTTCAACTACGTCCTCAACAGACAAGTAAATAACGCCTTGTTGTTTTGAGTTGATAAGCATGTCATACCGCCTGTTCCCCTCAGCAATACAGCTACTGAATAAGTTAATCCAAGTGTCACTGAGGTTTTCCGTTTGCTGTGGTTTTACATCACCACAGCAAAATGTTCTTGCTATCAGCACAGCGATCACTGTACAAGCATTACTACCATTTCTACCACCATAATACGACTGACAGATGTCTCTTGGAAAATGGTAAAAATTTATGGAAGTGTTTCGAATTTTTCTACACCTTATGACCAAGTTTTCACCATCGCTTTGTGAACTCAGATCGTGTTTTGACGCACACTCATTACCAGTCCTCAGCATTTCACAAGCGGTTTCTAAATCGATTTGATCGTTAGTATCATTATTCCGTTTGTTTTTATCGTAGCTTTTCCTGTTTGTGGAAGGAGAGAAACTGTTGATACTCTTAAGGCTTTCTTCTGGTGCTAGGCTGGAATAATTTCCTGATAAAACGTGCGGCTGGTAAAACTGTGGTTCATGTGTTACTATAGCAAAGATCATGAAACAAATGTACAGCAAAACAGGTACGCAACATGTTACCATGAAGACTATTTGAGCTGGTTTCCAGTGCGCCTGCAGTCCAATAAGTAAAGAGTTGTCACTCGGAGAAAACTGGTTCATTACCGGACCATACCAGTTTGTCAAAGTTGCCAGGGTGTACAGAGATGCTGTTAACATTAAGAAGTGAAATGCGGGGTAACTGTAAGGTAAATCTTCTTCGTTTTCATCCTCTTCTTCAATCAATCCATTATCAATATCCGTGTCTCTCAAAAGTCTAAGAGTGAAAGAATTATCGTTGTTACGTAAGCATTCATAAAACAATGTCGTGTGCATCACAAAGAGAGCTACAATAACTCTCACATTTACTCCAATCCTAAGCTCCTTTCCCGAAAGAAACGTTCTTTCAAGGTTACATCCGGGATTATCTTGTGTTGAGAACGCAACAACCATGACGAAAACTGAATGGAATATCACCACTGCGCATGGCAAGAACATAACCGCTGGCCGAAGGTTAAGTCTTATCCGTGGATGTAGGGAAATACCAAAAGAGATGAAACAAGCTCCCAAGTTGAACGCAATAAAGATATCGTTCCATTTACAGTCTTGTGTTGAAGTAGTGAAAAGTATAAAAGCTACAATGCCAAAGCTGACTGCAAATAATTCAAAGGACTTTAAAATCAGAAGATACAGTAGAACTTTGGAAGATATTTTGCTCTTGCGTTCTTGATGTTCTTGCGCTGTTGCCCAGGCCACTACGGCCTCTGCAATGTCAACTAACAGAAAAAACTGAAACACTATGAGAAATAGAGATCCGCCAATCAAGGCTACATAAGGAAAATAAACAATAAAATAACTGTGTTGAGGTATAAACAAAGCTCCAATACTAAAAGCAACAAGAATCACGAGCTTAAATATCCAACAGTGGTTCTGCAGTCGCTCGCGGAGTGCTGGGACGTTTGGAAGAACTGAACAAGCAAGGAGAAAGTGGTACAACGCAATGGCTAGAAACAGTCGATAAACCATTTCATAGCTCAATACTTCTCCACAAGTCCTCTTGTCCAAAATACTCTGACACTTAAACATGGCCTTGATGAGACTAGTTTCTAACAGATTTTCTTTTACGCCAGGTGCTAAAATAACCAATGTCACCACCGTCCACAGAAACAAAACGCTCTCGTAAACAATGCGAGGTCTCGCGGACATTCTAAAATCTTCTCTCGAGGCTCGAGATAACAAGTAAACAGAATTGGCGCGACATTCCTCGTGGTGACTGATTGATCTTCAATCTTGAAACGTGAGCTCACTTCTTTATGGCGTAACTGTTTGCGACAACTCTGTCGTGTTGCAATAACTGCCAGTCCGTCGATTTTCAATTGTATTTTCTTTGTCACGAATCCGCATGTATCGAAGAACTGTTTCTTTCGCGCGAAAACGTGTGGCAAGCAGTTATTAACCTGCTGCTCACCCCATGGTGTGGCTGGCTCTTGATCACTTGTCAAAAGAAAGCACTCGCTTTTTCAAATACCCTTTTGTTAAAACTGAGTTCCACTTTTAGCGAAAACCTTACTGAGTTAGGATCCGTCCGTAATTTTCTTCACAAGTGTACTACATATGGCTGTTTTGTTAGTTCGTTTTTTATCCTAATTGTTTAAAATCAAAGCCAGCAGGTGGAATTCAACAAAAGTGAAAGAATAAAACAACCCGTCTGGCACGACTTTACTCCAGAAGAAAGTTTTTGTCCCATTCTCAGTTTTCTACTCTTTTATAACTCTATACCATTTCAACTTTGTAAATCAGATACGTCGCCAGTACACGATAAAACTATTTTCCATGAATGAGGCGTGGAGTGATTTCAGTCCTGTATAAACGGCTCTAGGATTACATTGTCATTTATAATTCATGTTATTGGTTATGGCCAAGCGCGACTTCAGTTTGTCGCCTGGACGGGTCGTTGACTCTTCCGACATAACAGGTGATCTTCGTCCCCAGAGCCGCCTGCCTCTCGTAGCCGTCGGGGCCTTGGCACAAGGGAAAGTAGATCTTGATACACACAATTTGATCGGCTAAAAGAAATACGCGTGAAGAACTGTGCTAGAATCTAGTCGATCAAGTCACGTGTCTCCAGAGCCTCTTTTCCTCGTGCTAAGAAGAAAAAGACTAAAGCGGGATCTCTAACGTTCCGCCGTTTTCAAAACAAACCAATAAAAGTTGAAGGCAGACTTTTAATTCGACCAAAAATTCCGGTTTGAGTTTCCAAAAACTGGATTTCCAGGGGCCACTGGAAGAGTATTTTCCGTAATTCACAGAAAAGAGGACTAATTCGCAAGGCATACCCAAATTTTCGAATATTTTTTTACGGGGAAATCCCATTCCACTTGCTTTTCACCCCGAATTTTCGGTTGAATGGTTCGCACTTCAGAAACTCAACACCTCTTGGATTTTCGGGAAACTTCCCAGGACACTTCTGGACCATTTGCTTACGGATGAGACAGTTTGATTGGTTGCCAGGAAGACCAAAAAAACGTGGAACAAGTACAAAGTATATATACTAGGTAAGACGGATGGGAAAAGATGGAAACAAGAGAATTCTTTTGTTCTTTTTTTATAATGAGTTTTTATTTTTGTTTTCTTTCCGATTTCGTCCTACAGCTCTGCAAGGTTTTCGTTTTTTTTTTTCGCTATATTCCTTCGTATCTCAAGTCCTCTTCTCAGTACTTTTCACGCGAATCAAAGCGCTGTTACCTTGTCTACATAGGACTCAGGTGATTCTCGAGGCATCTGAAAAGATCTCGATCAAAAGATCTCGATGCACAATGGTTGCCCTTAGTTCCTCATGGAAAAGCACTTTCAGCCTCCGCGAATTTAGAACAATTACTTGGCCAAATTGGCCGGAATCTTGGCACGTCTTGAGCGAATGAATTCGGAGTTATCGCAGTTTACTCGAACCTTTTTCGGAAACTTTGAAGTCCCGTCGTCGTAAGCCGAGCTGAGGGCCATATCACACTCCACTGTTTAGCTCTGTCTGCAAGACACCTGCTTCTACGCTTGCCGCCTATGATTTTCAAGTTATTCTTTCTATTTCTTGTTCTTTTTCTCTGCTGGTAGAAAGTACTTTGGAGTTGACATGTGATAGTGATGCTGCCAAGATGAGTAATGTCCCTTGTAGAAAGCACCAAACCTACGAACGAAGCCAAGAACAATCAAGTTATTCTCCACGAAAACATCAACAGTACCGTACATTGATGACGTTCTGACACAACGGGAGGCAGAGTGGCCGAGTGGTTAGGGCGCCGGACTTGAAATCCGGAGGTCGCGGGTTCAAGTCCCGCTTTGACCACTTAGCTGGAGTTGTTTCTCGGTAGACCCTAGTTCAACTCCTCGGTCATGCTTGTAAATATCCAACTGGTCTCAACCTACCGCCAGTTGGAATTTTAAAGCCTATTATGTTTCGTTGATACATTTGTTTCTTTCAGTTTAAGTGGCATGCCTGTGAGCTAGGTGTAGCTGAGCGCATTGACCACTATAAACAACCTTTGAACACCATTTTTGAACGATAGGTACGATCCCCCGTCACTTTTAAATAGCAGTCCCCCCAGGGGAATTCTGATCAGTTTGACAGTTGGCGGTTGACCTATCATGACTCTTCAGTAGTTGTTCACTGTTCCCCCCCACTACCTCTTGATTTCTGTATTCAAACAATGCTACTATCATGCTGGCGTGTCTTCTACCTGTTGGGGAATCGTATGTTCTCTGCTACGTCCTTAGGACTCGTCGTTAGAATGTCGTTATCCTGGTATTTCTCTCCAGGAGGGGGAATACGGAATTTGGCCATTTGGACCTCGGTGTCACTGAGTCCCCCATGGGAAATCCGCGCATATCCCAGCCGTATGAGCCCGCGGTACATAATGTATTCACACCAGCGGTCAGAATCTGTTTTATCTATGTCCTGCAAAGAAAAGTCAGTTAGTTTCAGAAATGAACAGTCACACAAGTATTTTTCATTATAACAGGATTTGAAGGCCTATTCGAAGCCTAGTCGCAGTATCGTTCGAATTGGCCGGTTTCACAAATTTTAATTTAAAACAAGCAACAACCAATCACACACTACCCTGATCCCTGTGCACATTTCAGTTAGAATCTCACGAAAAAGATGAATAGAGCACACCAAGATATACGCCTGTCAACAAGGTCTTCCCGTACCAATCACTCTACATGACACAAAATTCCACAGTTCCCTCTAACCTTAGTTCGTCCCTTCTCCGTCAGCACGCGGTAATCACGACTTTTAGGGGATGACGTCACGTATCCCAGAAACACCACAGGATTTGGGCTGCAAAGCATGAACATTGTCACATTAATGAACAGTCAATACAAAAAAGAAGAAAAGAGGAAATGAACCTGCATGGAGGCAAACAAACCTTTCATCCATAATCCTGGCCAGTTCCTGAGCTTGAAGCTTTCGGTCTAAATTGTCCCTAAAACAAATTTGACATAGAGTTAATAAGTGGAGCATTGATTTGTCAAAAATGGATCAAAAACGTATTTTTCTTTTAGAATGTCAACTTATTGTCAAGAAAAAAAAAGAGAAAATCCTCACTAACTGGATGAAGTCATGATAAAACCAGGACTGAAAGACTTATGGCAATATGTCAGCAGAATTTTTGTTTTAAGCTTGAATGAGCTATGTCACAGTAACACGACAGCAATGGAGAAATTCTTTACACGGTTGTGTTACAAACAAATGAGAAAGCATCAGGAATGGCTGATTGATGAAGTTTTCATTTTTGTTTTTTTTGGCTTACCGATCGTTTCCCATGTGAACCAAAACAATGTCCACCAGGTTGCCAGTGATGTTGATGGTTGCACTTAAAGCTGGCGCCAATTCCCCTGGAAGAAAGAAGAACAAATTTCAGAGAAATTTCAGGGCTTGAAAAATTTCTTTTTGAGGCATTTGATACCCAAGGGAGGAGGGGGGACCCCATATAAAAAGTACAGGGGTGCTTGTCGTACTTGTTAGGGGTTAAAAAAGTGGTTTTTGTACCGCTTGGGTGTTCGGCCTCAAAAGGTCCACAGAGTGAGCTTTTGCGGTACCTTTTTGGGCATTGATTGGCAAAAATATGATGCAAGATAATGTGTTGTTTTAGAATTGGTATCTCTTAGGGGTGAAAAAAACCACGAAACAGGATATTAGCACCGCCTACGGGTTCTTTCCAAAATTTCTGACGAGAAACCCATCCTGTCTATATGGCAGACACCCCCGGAATTTGATGGGAAAATAAACGGGAAAATAAACAGGGTAATTAGTGCTAAGGGGAAGGGCTTAGTTCAAATTAATGAAACTACCACATTTAGGTGTGCGAAGCTGTTAAAGGATAACAATATAAGAAAAACAGTGGAAAGCAAATTTAGCATCAGATGACTCTTAAACATTAATTTACCTTTTGGGGATGGAAGCAAGTGATGAAGAGACTTCACTATTGGATATTTGGAGAGAAGTGTGGCACTAGAACAAAATTTAACAGAAACATTTGCCTCACTTAACATTGTTTTAATCATATCAATAACAAAATCTTTCAATCTGATTGGTTCTCTTCATCTTCCATTTGCAGGGCTGTCATTAAGGGTCGTGACTTGTAGCACCTATTACATATGGATACGTTTGATTTTCCCTTGATGCTACCGGCGAAATTGCCTGTTGTTGATAAAATTCACCCACAAAGTAACAAGTTTGCTATGGGTGTGGAAAACAAGGCTACATGTGACTCAAAACTTAAAGACAGCCCCATTTGTCAAGTGACTCTCAAGTGGCAGATTCAAATGCGATGTAAACAGAGAAGCATCAATTAGTGGATATTTTGTTGATACACTACTTAATTCTCAAAACTTACATTACAAGAATGTTTGGCAATTAGTTAGGAGAATTAGTATTATCGATCCAACTCAAATATCACTCTGGCATGACATTTAAGAACAATTTAAAAACAATAAATCTCAGGGGACGATAAGTGAGTGAGATGTGTGACAATTTTTTATGGCAATTTCACATTTTACACTTAGTTAGACATATATTGTAACTGTACTATCTTAATTTGTAATTCATTTTAATTGTAGTTTATCTTAACTTTATACACTTCTAATGAAGTTTTTTTATTTTGTATTTTTATCTTTATTATTTTGTGGCATAACTCGAAACTAGCTTGCAGCTAAGCATACTGACCATGATAAAGCGATTGATTGATTGATTAATTGAAAGGCCGCGTGCAAGAACGTCCCCTAGNTGATTGATTGATTGATTGATACTACAGGAAACTGGTCAAACAGGTTAGTAATAATTGTGCCCCTTTAAGTTCTCTTGACAGTGCAGTGCAAAACATGGTTCAGAGCTTGGTACTGTAGTTCATTTTCAGTTGTCATTTGAATTTTGACTCACCTTCCAGACTCGCTAAAATACAACACAGTTTGTGAAGTACAGAGAAATACGACAATAATTTAAATTTAACACCTGTTACGAGATTTACACTTGTCTGGTTGGTCTGGTTTTGACCTGGTTGTCTGGTTAATTTTGCTTTCACTATCCTTTGTACTGCTTTGTCAGAAAGTTTGCTGGATTATTACTGTATAAAGTTTTGAATATACTTTTCATGTTTTTTACCCCCACGTGTGGTCTCTGGTGGACGGTCCAAAATCAGAGTACATTCCTAGTCTTTCCTCAAACCACATGGCCAGGTCATGATTTCCAAGATAAGGCTTTGAGCAGTCGCTTTCCAGAAAACCAACCACATCAGCATCTGTTGAGAGTGCATGAATGTAAGTTTGTGTCTTGAGGTGTACAGTAATTCAAGGCTGTGGTCTAAGAAAAATTACGAGGAGCCCAAAGAAATCCTACCCATGAAATCCTAGGTGCCCGGCACTTATTGGGTTACATGAAAAAAGTAAGTCTTTCCTTTCACCCAAAGGCAAAAGTTAGTTGTCTTTGGCATCCAGGCATTTCTGGAGCACAGCCCCAAGTATTTTACAGAATGCAATTAGATAAAGTAACCCATACTCTGACATAGCTAACCATATCCAAGCCAAACTAACCTCAAACAAGCTAACTGTAACACTTATCAGAACCCAGTTTACAAAAAACCACCTGCCCTGCAAATACTTATAAACAGACATCACAATATACATGTATGATGGCTGTTTCATCATCAAGACTGTTTTTAAATAGAGAACAGAAAGTAGTACTGGGTTGAATCTCTATGCTACCTCTGACAAGATGAAAGAGATTCCAGTTTAGAAGTAATAAACTTACCAGTATCATTGATCATTTGTGCTGCTCTCTCAAAGCTTGGCCAGCCAACATTATCATATGCAAAATGGACGGTCCAGATCATGGCTGAAAACACACTGGGGTCTTCCTACAGATATAATAATGTAACCACCCTTAAAAATTACTCCATTTCCTACTAGATCAATTCTAGACCAAGAAAAAGTTTTGGTCTTCAAGAAATGATCGTAGCCATCACAGTGGCACTAGCTTTATATGCATGTTCAATATTGTAACTGATTGATTCAACTGAATTGGGAAACAGGGATTTCCCCATACTGTTCTTCCTTTTGTAGACGTGTAGATCAGAAAACACAGTCATACCTTCTGTGGAGTGACATAATTAAGTCTGTGAAATCTCACTGCCATTATAATAACTGCCACCATGATGATACAAAGAAGGACTGGAATAAAAACAACAGGAAGTTAAAAAAGGACAAGGAAGGCAATCAAGACATAAATAATGGTAGCAATGTTGTGTTCTTGGGTGAAACACTTTACTTTCACAGTGCCTCTCTCCACCTAGGTGTATAAATTGGATACCGGCAAATTTAATGCTAGGGGATAGCCCTGCAATGGACCAGCATTCCGTCCAGGGGGGAGTAGAAATACTCCCAGTCACTCCATTCCACAGAAACTGGGATAAGCTCTGACCTGATGGGCCACTTGACTCACATGCAGACTCACCATTACCAGACATTAGCGTGTACCAGACATCTCTTGCCAATGCATATAGATAATGAAGAAATGTGCACCAAAACACCTAAAAAGGACTTCCTGCACCTGTAACATTATTTTATTACCTGGAATGACATGAGTCCTGAAAAACCAAAATCTCTCTCCATGCTCCTCAAGAAAAGCAACATTATTGAATTTAACCACAAGGGGTTTCTGTTTTGTGGAAGACTGAACATCTGGATGTTTCTCGTCATTAACACTTTCTTGCTTTTTAATTTTTCCATAGGCTTCCTTTACATCTGGTGCCGTCTTTGTCCTTAAAGCAAATCCTTACAAAGACAAAATGAACTTTAATAAGACATGGAGGATCAAAGAGCATGTTTGCAGAAGGGATACTTAAGGCAAACTTTTAGAATCTTTTTGCTAGAGAAGATTAAAAACCAGGAGCTACTTGTTCACAAGAAAGTTGGAATGGTGTCTGTTTCAGACAAACTTGAAGGCTAGATGCTATGCTGGTAAAAAACAAGGTGTGAACCCAAATCGACTTGGCATCAAACTGCCGAGAATCAGCAGCTTTGTGGGTGCAGTTAGAAGGTGCGCATGAAAGATCAAGTAAATGGAAAGAAACTGACACAATGAAACTTTATAAGCAACCTAACAATTACCATGCTCTAGTTGATAAGTGGGAAAAGTATTTGAGTGTAAATCATCTGGGGGGACGCAAGGCAGAGTCTTTGGTTTGCTGTTCATTGCGATCTATTGTTTTTGTACTTTTTTTGGTCCCTCTCTATCCCTGCCTTTCAAAACCTACATTGCAAAACATTCAGGAAATTATAACAACTGTCATGTAAAAATATGTGTTAACCAAGTAATATGAAAACCCCTAGCAAGAAAGTTGAGAAAGAAATAACACTGAGCAACTCTTCTACTGTGTTCTACGTGTACTGTGTTTTACCTACCAATTAAGACCATGGTGATACCCAATAATACATGAGTTCTCTCCCTTGTGTACTCTCCCCCAGGTACAAAGTTGAATGCCACAACCCACACTGAGCCAAGTATAAGGACAATGTAAACCAAGTTAGCTAAAGTGAGTGTACGTGCAACAGGACGGCAGAACAGTCTGTCAATCATGGCTGGCCAGATGGACAGGGTGTAGACGCTAAGCATTAGACCACCAATAAAGGACCAGTAACGAGGGGCGAAGTATAGTAATGCTGCCCCACCAGAGCCAACGAGCCACCAAAACAAGTTACTAGTCCAGTTGTAACGAGAGAGAAGGACACCAACACCAAGAGCAATAATCACTGCAGCACTACAATGAATCAATCACACAGAATATATTTCAAGCAAATAAAATACAAATGACCATGCTTCACTCCAAGAGGCATGAGTAGATTACCAGCACTTTGAGTAAGACTTTAAGAGGGTGACTTATTGGAAGCACTTCACTTGCTTATTGTAGACATCTCTTTTTGCACTTGCCCCTCAATGAGAGACGTCTGAGCTTAAGCCTTTTTAGTAATTTCTGAAGTAGACTTATAACTTACAAAGTAAGCAGCAGCTAAGGTTTTTTTATGATTGAGAAGAGCAGTGAATCTCAGTGGCATTGGACTGGAACTAGCTCGCAACTGAGACTAATGCGGGGAGTCTTTTCACATGCAAATGACATTAATCTCTTTTTAACGATATTCCCCCCCCCCCCCCCCCCCCCCCCCCCNGAGACCAATGCGGGGAGTCTTTTCAAATGCAAATTAAATTTTTCTCCTATTAATGTATTCCCCCGCATCAGACTCCACTGCAAGCTAGTTCCAGTCCAGTGTGGTCTATTTTGAAATGTACAAATTAAATCTAACCCAAAGAGAATTCGAAATAATAGCTTACTATGTACTTTATATGATGGTGTCCCATGTGGTAATGGTCCACAACACATGCAGCAGCACTTTCTATAACTTAGACAACAAAAAGTACATTACATACCCCCATGGGTTGGGCTTGGGTCCTGTGTGTGGATAACCTGCAACAGCCCAGCGACAAATGAGTGACACTTCACCAAAGACATCATGAGTGAGGAACATCAGGGCACCAAATCCTAAAGCAACTAAGAACCACCCAGGACCTGAGACCTTTGAGTCTTGGGGCTCAGTTGATGACTTTGCTTGAGGTCCTGACTGAGAGATGGACATCATATAGCCAGTGTATACTCTGTCTAAGGTGGCGATGACAGCAATAAGTAGAACGACCCTGTTGCTGGTGACATCTGACCAGATTGGGTTGACAGTGACATATGAAGTGCGCAACAACAACAAAAGAAACAAACCCAGAATAAGGCCCCAGAATGAAAGTACCCTGAAAATACAATAATATGAACTGTAAGCCCTGCCTCGAAGCTCAACTAGTGGAGTTATCAGCTATTATATTTCATCCATCACTTGGTAGTCTCTCACCCAGCCATTATTAGGATTGTCACGCAATGCTTCTCCCCACCAAGAAGTGTTGCGTGATGACCCTAATAACAGCCGGGAAGGAGACAAATAATATTTTTAAGCTCAATCTCTCAAGCCAAATTTGCAGAATTAAAATCTCACCTCTCTTTAGGATCCTTCGACCAAATCATTCCACAAAACCAGAGCATTGCTGTTCCGCAACCAAATGCCAACATCATCAACCTGATAAGGGTTGTTGGTGCCTGGAAAGAAGCAATACCCACCAAGGAAAGAACTCGCCAAAACGCCAAGCCATGTATGGTACCAGAGAACCGTAGCAGTATGCCAATCCCAGTAAATATGGGTGATAGAATGGTTACAACAAATGCTTCATAACCAGAAATTTCAAGCTCATTTAGCGGATAGAACCAGATCATTGGGGCTATTCCATGGATAAGTGACCACCACACATATCCTGCAAGAAATATAAGTTCCATTTTCAAGATCAAGTTTGTTACTTTGTCTAAAAGGTAAAGTTTTGAAACAGCACGTAGCCCTAAGAAGAAATCAAAACAATATAAACACTTAAGTTCCATTGAGCCACTTTGGTATACAAAGCAATAGTCTCAAACTGCTTTCAAAATTGTGTCTAAGCACAGGATCAGCAAAATGCGACAAAAAATGTAGATCAATAACTGTTAAAAGAGATCCAGTTTCCTCACGTTTGATACATGACGTCACATGAGCCCCCACTTGAATTAAAGGCATGCTTTGTCAATTCCCATAGGAGGTTCTAAACATTTTTGTTCCAAGATTTCTTGAAAACCTACTGAACAACACATGATAAAATTTTCACAATATTGATCTATAGGGGGTTGAATCATGTACAGCATCAAAATTTTAAAACAATGGTAAAAAGCATTTTCATAATTGCTTAGTTTATGATAATCTTAGTTTATGATAAAACGTACTGATTTAATCATTTGTGTGTCAGAGACAGCTGTTTTTCCTGTCACAGGTGCATTATTAGAGTAGAAAAAGCTGGTATTATGAGAAAGTGATGGGGTTGTAAATTACCCTAGCAGGTCGAAGTTGACCTGCACTTAAGACTTACATGTAGGTTGACAAAATAAAGGACTTTGAAATCGTCTTTCTAAACCTGAGAAACTTTCAGCTCGGATTCCAACTTAATATTATTTAAAAGTCACCGCACTTTTTGGTAAACAGGACCGCTATCGTTTTCACACCTGGCCCAGCTGTGCTAAAACAAGCTTCGGTTCTTTGTGTGTAGGCCGGCTGCCCGTGAGCGAGAATTAAAGAAATTTGTTAATCGGAGCCAATACTTTTTTCTTCTTTCTTGTTTTTGTCAAAGGAACTCTGTCAGTCTTAAATACATACAACAAAGTTTTAGTTCCGTACTATCACCAACGATTCAAACAAACAATCCCCACCTAGAATCATTTCCGCTCCCAGTTCTCTTATCGTGTACGTGAACTCCATCACTTCTTCGGCAACCTCTGCAGTTTCCTCGTCAATGAATTCATCTTCTTCACCTTCTGGAATATCGGTTTCATACTCTTCGACTTCTTCCCAAGGATCTGTAGCTCCTTCTACGAGACTCTGGGCTCTATGTCGGAGTTCTCTACGCCGTCTTCTAAGGCTTCTTTGAGAAACAACTTTACCCTCCGATGCCTCCGTCATGTTGGATTCTCGACTTAGCCTGGGGATAGTCTTGAGCCGGCGAATCTCCTTCCAAGAGCCCACGTGTCTTTTGGTCAGCGCCAACCAAATGGCACGTGGGCCCTGGGAACGATATTGCCATGTTTTAAACCAAGGAACGCATGCGCCGTGAAACCGGAACTCCTAAAATCTTGGAGTCTGAAAATTGATGAAATTCGATGAAATTGTAGATGAAATTGATTATTCCAGAGTACCGTGTCTTGGCGCTGACCAAAAGACACGTGGGCTCTGGGAATGAGATTGAGGCAGGGGGGTGGGGGGGGGG